TTAATTTTTGGCCAGGGTGCTTGTACGTTTTCCCCTCTATTGCCCTTGCCTGTCCAATTGCATGGCTGGTCTGGGGGACTGAGTGGGTTTGCCTTACATTTTAATTTGTTGGCCAGGGTGCTGCTGCGTTTCCCCCTCCACTGTCCTTGAGAGCCTGGATAGCTCAGTTGGTTAGAGCATGGTGCTGATAATGCCAAGGTTGCAAGTTCGATCCCTGTATGGGACAGCTGAATATTTCTGCATTGCTTGGGTTGGACTAGATGATCCTCAGGGTTCCTTTTCCTGTTCCTCTCTAATTTTAAGTCATGTGTGTGTGTGTGCTTGCAGCGTGTGTTTGTGCCTGCCGTTTATTGATTTGTGTGTTTGTGCCTGCTGTTTATTGTGCCTGCCGTTTATTCATTTATTACTCTTCTAGCGTGGGTTCAATTTACCCTGCAATCCCTTCCATTGGTACCACTTAAATCGGGAGCCCCCTGTAAAATTTTAAAGGCTGCCGGGGCTTGGAATAGACTGTGCGCTTAAACCTCACCCCTCTTGGTTTCTCTAAGCCAACCCCCCCCCTTCGCTTGATGTTTGGGGGAAGAAATAAGGCAGGGCTTGGGGTGGACAATTCAGGGTTTCTGATCAGGGAACCATTCCTCAGCACTGCATGTTTATACGTTTAGAACCTTTGAAGGTGTGCCTTTGCCTGGTTCTTGTCATTGGCTTCACTTGCCAGTACAGGCTCCCTAAAGAAAACCACTTTTAAACAACAACAACAAAAAAGATTTTGGCTTATAGTACCTTACTGAAAAGTCCAGGTTAACCCACGGTTTATATTTCCACTTCATTTTGGCTCACTGTAAAGGACAGCTATTTTCCTTTTCTTCAAAAACTTCCTTGCCCGGCATGTTCATTTTACTCCCCCCCCCCTCCTCCCTCCCAACTCCCCCACGCTTTCCTTCTCCTCCCCCACCCGTCCTCCCTCCCACCACCCCCCACCCTTTCAGGAGATACATCGGTCTTTGGAGTTCCCTTTGCTTCTTGCCTGAGTCATCACAGTTACCAGACAGGTTTTTCAACTGCTGGGTTGAGAGCTTGATTGCTCTCTGAGTGACCGGCAGTTTGTGAGGCATTGTCCTTAAGCACCTGGCAGTTCAGCAGCTCTAGTTGCATTGTCAGTTTAACTAACCAGCAGTTTGACCAATTGCAGTCTTTTGTCTGTTTAAGCACCCTTATTTCAATCAACTGTTATTGAGCCGACCTTGTGGGCAAAGATTTACTTTTCTTTGTTTGGCAAAGTTTCCGTTGTTTGGAAGAAGTTTCCCCAGCAGTGAGATATTCCCCTTAAGAGCAACCTTACCCCTCCTTTTCAGAGGGCCGCTGGTGTGGGCCTGGAATCTTATTGATTTCCTTTTCTCTTAATTTGGCTGCAGCTTCTGAGCATCTCCTTGTAAGCAGTTATTTTCAATTCTGTTTGATTACTTGGCAATGCTTTGTGCCTAGATTTGCCTATCATTTAAAAGGGGCAACTTTTATTGTAGGCAATTATCTTCTAATTCTGTCTGACTGCAGTTGGGGTTGCTTTGTGTATGGGATTGTTCCTTGGAGCCAGGTGCTAATATGTAGCTGAGCGCTGCTGCTTGAACTCTTGCTGGGTTGTGATTTAATAAATATAAATAAATACAAGCGGTGCAGTTAAGTGACGTATAGCTTGTTCGTTTTGTCAGCAGTTACGCAGAGCAATTGATAATAGTAATTCCTACTCATAGCTATAAATCCATTGGCTCCGAACTTTATTGATGCACAATAATTGTATACTAGCATTTAATTACAGTCAAGTTATTAATTGATTGGTGATATTAATACTAATTAAAAAATAACAACAATAATAAAATAAAATAATAACATAGAATAAATTTGAAAAATAAATAAATAATAATTAATAATAATAAATAATTATAATTATAAATAATAAAAATACAACAATAATAATAATAATAATAATAATAATAATAATAATAATTAATATTTAAAATATAAATAAATAAATAAATAAATAAATGAAAATTAAATTTAAAAATAATAATAATAATTAGTGACGAAATAAATAGTAGGCACATTTTACTAGTGCACAGAGCAGCTCATGGCGCCCAAGAGGAAGCGCACAGGTGCAGTACCAGCACACACTGCAGCTGTCAACCGTCGTAATAATAAACCCAAACCCATTTCGCAGTTCCTCAATGCCTTCAGATCATTCATTGTTGACTATGAACAGCGCTTTCTCTTAGCTATTCTTTAGTTCTATTTGCCTTGCGTTTCTTACTTCCTTGTTTCGCAAACCAGTGGCCAGCCTTTAAACTACCCAGGTGCAGGCCCAAGCCCTCAGACAGGAACGGCGGCTGTGCAAACTAGGTCTCAGGCTTGCTCGCCGACTTTCAGAACCGCACCAGGGCGCCTGCGTGGAGGCTGCCGGCCCATATCAATAACCCGGTTGCTTCCAGTTCTTCTAGTTCTTTGCAGAATAAGCAGCCCAGGGTCCAGCTTCCAGAATCAGGCACCTCATCAGCCGGTGATGATGAGTCAGAATGGCTTACGCCCTTTCTGGGGAGGCCGCCGCTATTAGCATCTGGCAGTTAGCCCGTATGTCGAGAAGAAGCCATCAGAGGTGTATCGCACTGGAAAGCTGGGCCTTAGAAAGGATTTAAAACATAAGGTGTGCTGGTAATTCAATAAAGGGCAATGCCAAAGGCAGTCTTGTAAGTACCCGCACGAGTGTGAGAGATGTGCAGGGGCTCACCCAGCCACAGCGTGTTACAAAGGGAAGCGGCCCTTTTGGGGAGGTCAGGGCTTCCACCACTCTAGTTCCAGACGAGCCCCCGCAGCAGCGAACCATCGATAAAGTCCTTCTGGGTCTAGCATTTTCTCCAATTCAGCTTTCTCCTCTCCTCAACCTCTTGTCTATCCATCCGGACGGAAGTGCAGCATCCTATCTTTGGAAGGGTTTCTCAGAGGGTTTCAGAATCCCAGTAGTTGGCTCCTTAACCGCGAAGGACTCTCCTAATCAGAAGTCAGTAAGGGAAAGGACGCTCGCCTCACCCAACGGGTAGCTAGCCCCACCCCTGGGTGCACACTATGTGTGCCACTCCGGGTGCCAGAGCAGCTAGCTCCGCCTCTGGAGTCACACTATGGCATACAGCTAATTGGGATGAACCCAACAGGGCCGCCACTTAGCCCCTGCTTGGTCTCCAGGACAGAGGCACCCCTTCCCAGACCCACCCCCCTTTTGAGATTATTAGGCAACCAAATGTATCATTCCATAACACCTCATACAGGAATTATTATTATTATTAATTTTTTTCCCCCTGGGGAACCTGCCTTTTTCTCCCAGATCAACTACAAGAGCAAGACCACAGCTTTAACAAAATGACAGCCCAAACAGGAAGACACATGGGAGCAATGGTACTGCTTTGAAGTGTTCCAGATCCATTTCCTGTTCTTCCAATGAGCAGGGCAGCTGTGGGCAAAATTGCAAAGAAGTACAATAATGATTTAGTCTTTAGTCCTATAATCTAGTAAGCCTTTAAGCCCAACAGTCGAAATCGCATAATTTCAATGCTTTAACTATATTAGGGAACATGTATAGTTAGTAAACAAATTGCTAGTTTGGTGAGAAATAACACTTCACTGAAGTGGATAACGCTTTGGCCAAGAGCTCACCTTTGGCAATCTTCTAGAACATGTTGCATATGTAGCAGTTCTTTCTAGCTAGAGTGAAACTGAAACCTGACATTTACAGTACCAGATAGAAGTGTTCTGGAATGTCCTGGCTGTGTCTGGAATGTCCTGGCTGTGTCTGTAGTACAACAGTTTTGGAAATCTGTAGGAGAGCATCCCACCAATCTCTTGTCATACTAACAATCGTGTTATCCACTAACAATCAATAGTGCTAAAATTGTAGCTACTTTGGCAACAGAATGTTGGCTAGAAGCAACTGGTTTTCTGAAGCTAAAACTTACAATTTTGTTCTAGGAGTTACTTGATCACAATATAGAACTATTTGTTTATTCCTTAAGAGTTTTACACATGATGAAAACGTATACTCAAGCAGATATTTTTATAATCACTGTACTATACTATGATACAGTGCATAATGAACATCCACATTCAGTTAGTCTGTGTGCCAGCCCCCCATCAGATTCAGCACAGAGAGCACCAAGTGACTCAGAAACAAATCAGAAGTTTAAAAGTCATGATACAAAATGAGTCTTGGGGCCTATGTGCATACCTAACCTTAAAAATAAAATAAAAAAACAAAAACAAACAAACAAACAAACAAACCGCACCATAGGGTAAGACTCCCAAAATCGGTTAAGACAGACCTTGAGATCTGGATCACGTTTCTGGAACGCTACAGTGGAGTCTCCTTATGGAAGGAAATCCTCAACCTGTCCTCAGATTTCCAGGTTCACTGATGCCGCTGGGTCCTTGGGCTTCAGTTTATTCTTTAGGGGACGCTGGTGTGCTCAACAATGGCCAGCAGAGGAGCAAGGCGAGGCTATCACGTGGGATCTCACTTTTCTAGAGTTTTTTCCCCCTTAGTTGTGGCTGTTCACATTTGGACTGAGGAGTTCCAGAATCGCCGGGTGTGCTTCAGAACTGATAACCAGGCAGTGGTCAACATACTGGCTAAACAGTCATCGCGTTCCGAGAGGGTGTCGCGCCTACTCCAATCATTCGTCCTCCAGTGCCTCGCTTTCGAGCATTAGCTCCCAGGGCTCAGCCACTGCCAGAACCCGTTCCAGAGCACCTGTGGAACCTTGGAGACGTGAAGTGATTAAGGGAGTATTAGCATCTGTCGCACCCTCTACGCTTAAATCATATAAGAAGGTCTGGTGTGATTTCATGGGGTTCAGGTCCAAAGTATCCTCCCTTTCCACCAATGTTACACCCTCCACAGAAAACGTTCTGCAATACTTAACACACCTTCATGGCCTAGCTTGAGCCTCGAAAACTTTGAGGATACACATAGCCGCTATCACATTCTTTAGTAGACCCATGTTTTTCCACCGATTCGTGCTGTGACTTTATGGTCCGCAGGGCAATTGAAGGTTGCAGTTGACTGCAGCCTCCAAGTAACAAAGGCCGCAAGCCTATTTCTTACAAGCTGCTGTCCCAAATCCGTATGAAACTTAGGTCAATTTGCTGGTCCAAGTTCGAGGCCCGGGTGTTCTCTGCGGCATACGTTATAGCCTCCTTTAGGCCGGGCCTCCAAAACGTTAAAGATACACGTAGCCGCCATCAACTTCTTTGTAAAGCCATGTGTCAGAGCTGCTTCCAGATCCTAGCTCACAGAGGATCACGCTAGCCAGCGATCATTAAACAAAAGTCTTTATTGAGTTACAGTTTCCATTCTCAAACTGCTGCGTGCAACTCTACGTCTCATGGTTAGACCGGCGAAGCTCCGTCTGAGTCTCCGCCCCTTGTACACCAACTTAATATCCTAGCCCTGCTCCACCTTTTCCGCCTGACTGTTCTTCTCTGGGTCCCTCTGCCCCCTGGGGTCTCTTCTTTCCGGGATTCCTCTGACGCTGACGCTGACCCTGACTCTTCTCCCTCCTTTCGGCGGGCTTTAGGACCTGGCTCCCTTCCGGGCTGCCTACTGTGCCACCTTCCTGTGCATTTGAACTTGGCGCGCGCGCCCAACCTTCCACCTTCCGTCTGACCGTTTCTTCGCTCCCCGATGGAGGTGTGGCCACTCCTGACTCGTGCCCTCCCCTGTTGTGAGCTGCCAGCGCTTGATCCCTGGCTCCCTTCCTCTTCCCTGCTCTCTGGCGGTGACGCTGGTCCCGATTTCCAACTGCTCCCTCTGAGTCCCCTCTGGCTCTATCTTCCTGGGGCGTCCCCTAGGCTCCCCCTTGCCCTGGCCACTGGTGCTCCTTTCTGTGAATCTTCTGATTCACTGGAAAGACTCGGAGATCTCGGGTCGTCGTCATCACTCATCTTTTCTTCTGCCTCCTCCCCCTCGCTCTCTGTTTCCTCCCTTGCCCTTGCCTCTGCTCCTGAACCCCTGACACCATGTTTTCCTCCGACCCGTGCAGTGACTTCCCGATCCGCAGAGCTATTGAAGGTTGGGGTAAGCTGCAACCCCCTAGAGCCGAGGGCCATAAGCCAATTTCTTACAGGCTGCTCTCTCAAATACGCATAAAGCTTAAGTCGATCTGTTGGACCAAGTTTGAGGCCCGCCTCTTTCCGCAGCATATGCTAAGCCAATTCCTTACGGGCTGCTCTCTCAGATATGCACAAAGTTTAGGTCAATCTGCTGGACCAAGTTTGAGGCCCGCTGTCAGGGGTTCAGGGACAGAGGCACAGGGTAGGCAGGAGATGGAGAGCGATGGGGATTCATCCCAGGACAGCGAGGAAGAGGATGACAATGACTCAAGAGATTCCATGAGTCTTTCCAGCGAATCAGAGGATTCCCAGAAGGGGGCGCCGGTGGTCAAGGCCAGGGGGGGACGTGTCAGGAGCAGGGGGCCAGCGGGGGATCCCAAAGTGGCAGCTGGGCGTCAGGACCAGCCTCCCCGCCAGAGTGCAGCGAAGGGGGTGGAGGTTTCAGTGTATCAGGGGACGCAGCTCCGGCAGCAGAGAAGGGAGGGAGGCCGGAGCAAGCCACCCTCCCGGAAGGGGGGGGAGTAGTGAAGGGAGTAGTGTAGCTGTTAAAAGGAAGGTTAGAGGTTGGGCGCGCGCTCCAAGTTCAAATGTAGAGGCGCGCGGAAGTACAGGGAGCCCGGAGGAGGGGCCAGGTCCCAAAGCCCGCAGGAGGGGGCAAGAGCAGTCTGGGGATTCCGCGTCAGAGGAATCCAGGAGGGGCGAAACCCCAGCGGGCAGAAAGACCCTGCAGAAAAGGAGAGAGAGAAAGAGGTGGAGCAGCGCAAGCCTCTTAAACTGGTGCAGGGGAGGGACGGATTCAGTGGGGACTTCAGCGGTCTAAGCGTAGCAGACGTAGGGCTGCGCGCCTCGGATGTGAAGCAAACAATGAACTGCAATAAACACTTTTGTATATAAGAAGAGATAGGCGTTGGTCTTTTGTGAGCTGAGACTTGAGGCAGCCCTGACACCCGCCTTTCCCCCCCCCCCGCTGCATATGCGATCGCCTTTTGGCACCTTGAGGGTCGGTGAAGTAGTAGCCGAGGTTAATGCAACTGGGTCAACGCGCGGCCTCCTCACGGAGGACTTGCAGTTGTCCGAGCTAGCACGACGGTGTGGATACATCAATCCAAAACGGATCAGGCAGGTAGGGGTTCCCTTGTAAAACTTACAGCTTCAGCGCAGCGGGGCCCATGCCCGGTCAAGGACACTAGATGGTACCTTTACCTCAGACTGCCTGGTCCTGGCCTGCTCCTGGTTCACGAGGATGGGTCACCTTTGTTGAGACACCAATTCACAAGGGTACTCCGCAAAGCTATTGATGCCTGTGGTTTATCTTCCCAGGATTATGCTGCACACTCATTCAGGATTGGGGCCACCACAACAGCGGTGCTCTTGGGTCTGCCGGCGGATAGGATTAAAGAAATGGGCCGGTGGAAATCCAATGCTTATAAAAGTTATATTCGCTAGAATGCGCTCTGCTACTTACCTCCTTTTCTGTCCTTTCATCCTCAGCTGTGATCAGGAGAAGCGTGTGGATTTGCGGCCACAGTATAGTCCATTGGGCCCACGTACGGGCGGTCAGCTGCGGCCTTGCGCCTAATCTTGGTCTGCCACACGGTGTTCGAGTTTCCTGGTTCTCGAGAAGAGGCATGCGCTGGGAAGAGCTTATGCCATTGCTGTGGGAAAAAGTCGCCACGTTCGGCCCTCCCGGCATCCTTGTCATTCAATTAGGGGGAAATGACCTTGCTTACAGAAGGAGTGCGGACTTGTTGTGGAATATAAAAAGAGACTTGGATGCGTATGCTGCCCCAGAACAACGGTGTTCTGGTCCTCCTTCCTGAAGAGAATTTTTTGGCGCGGTGCGCTGAGCTGTATGGCCATTGAAAAAACCAGGAAACTCGTAAATCGGGCAGTGGCCCGTCGGCTTCATGAATGGCCGAGTCATTTATCATGACCAAATCCGGATCGGCGACCGGGCCTTATACCGGAATGACAGGGTGCATCTCTCAGACCAGGGGAACGACATTTGGCTAGATAGTGTCATCAGCAGCATTAGGGATTGGTTACAGCCGTGAGGGTATTGGCGGCGAGCCTTATTGGCTCGGGTGGCGGTTAGGCATTGGAATAATGTGTTGTGGTGTGTCGAAGGGCTGGGTGTGGCCATCGCCTATGCCTTCAGTTTTTGGGTATTCCGTTAAAGGAATCAGGCGGTCGTGTACTCTGTCCGATGCCTGCTTGGCGGGAGGCCATGGCACGACCTCCGGTGACATCAGGGGAGAGCCTATAGTTGGATTAGCATCAACAGGCTCCACCTACTGGTGAATAAACCCCCTTGTTTTAGATATTTCGTGTTCTTTGGTGTTAATGCACATTGACCCAGAAATCGCAAAGTGTTTGTATGCAGACCAACATAACACACCACTGTCTTTTCGCTTCCATATGCGTAGAAAGAAGACGAATAAGCTTTGATTGGGCTTATTTCAATTCGCATGGTGATTTTGGGTGTGCACCAGAATCACAACCAACCAAAGGAAGAAGCTGTTTTGGGTTCCATCTACATAAAAAGAAGATCATAAAGCTCTGATTGAGCTAATTTCAAATTGGTGTTTTTGGGGTTAGAATGCACATTCACCCAAAAATAGCAGAGTGACATGTTTGTTATCAGCCCAAACTAAGCATGGGTGTTTTGGTTCAATCTCAATAGAAAGAGGACAAATAAGCTTGGATTGTTCTTTCGGTGTTTATTCACCCACAAATAGCAACGCAAACTGCAATAAGCCGAAGCAAAGCCAAACAGGTTGTTTTGATTTCCAGCTACATAGAAAGAAGAATCTTGGATTTCGCTTATTTCGTGTTCTTTGGTGTTAATGCACATTGACCCAGAAATCGCAAAGTGTGTGTATGCAGACCAAAATAACACAACACCGTCTTTCGCCAAACAGGTTGTTTTGATTTCCAGCTACATAGAAAGAAGAATCTTGGATTTCGCTTATTTCGTGTTCTTTGGTGTTAATGCACATCGACGCAGAAATCGCAAAGTGTGTGTATGCAGACCAACATAACACACCACTGTCTTTTCGCTTCCATATGCATAGAAAGAAGACGAATAAGCTTTGATTGGGCTTATTTCAATTCGCATGGTGTTTTTGGTTCAATCTCAATAGAAAGAGGACAAATAAGCTTGGATTGTTCTTTCGGTGTTTATTCACCCACAAATAGCAACGCGAACTGCAATAAGCCGAAGCAAAGCCAAACAGGTTGTTTTGATTTCCAGCTACATAGAAAGAAGAATCTTGGATTTCGCTTATTTTGTGTTCTTTGGTGTTAATGCACATTGACCCAGAAATCGCAAAGTGTGTGTATGCAGACCAAAATAACACAACACCGTCTTTCGCCAAACAGGTTGTTTTGATTTCCAGCTACATAGAAAGAAGAATCTTGGATTTCGCTTATTTCGTGTTCTTTGGTGTTAATGCACATTGACCCAGAAATCGCAAAGTGTTTGTATGCAGACCAACATAACACACCACTGTCTTTTCGCTTCCATATGCGTAGAAAGAAGACGAATAAGCTTTGATTGGGCTTATTTCAATTCGCATGGTGATTTTGGGTGTGCACCAGAATCACAACCAACCAAAGGAAGAAGCTGTTTTGGGTTCCATCTACATAAAAAGAAGATCATAAAGCTCTGATTGAGCTAATTTCAAATTGGTGTTTTTGGGGTTAGAATGCACATTCACCCAAAAATAGCAGAGTGACATGTTTGTTATCAGCCCAAACTAAGCATGGGTGTTTTGGTTCAATCTCAATAGAAAGAGGACAAATAAGCTTGGATTGTTCTTTCGGTGTTTATTCACCCACAAATAGCAAAGCGAAGTGTAATAAGCCTAAACAAAGCCAAACAGGTTGTTTTGATTTCCAGCTGCATAGAAAGAAGAATCTTGGATTTCGCTTATTTCGTGTTCTTTGGTGTTAATGCACATTGACCCAGAAATCGCAAAGTGTGTGTATGCAGACCAAAATAACACAACACCGTCTTTCGCCAAACAGGTTGTTTTGATTTCCAGCTACATAGAAAGAAGAATCTTGGATTTCGCTTATTTCGTGTTCTTTGGTGTTAATGCACATCGACGCAGAAATCGCAAAGTGTGTGTATGCAGACCAACATAACACAACACCGTCTTTCGCCAAACAGGTTGTTTTGATTTCCAGCTACATAGAAAGAAGAATATTGGATTTCGCTTATTTCGTGTTCTTTGGTGTTAATGCACAGTGACCCAGAAATCGCAAAGTGTTTGTATGCAGACCAACATAACACACCACTGTCTTTTCGCTTCCATATGCGTAGAAAGAAGACGAATAAGCTTTGATTGGGCTTATTTCAATTCGCATGGTGATTTTGGGTGTGCACCAGAATCACAACCAACCAAAGGAAGAAGCTGTTTTGGGTTCCATCTACATAAAAAGATCATAAAGCTCTGATTGAGCTAATTTCAAATTGGTGTTTTTGGGGTTAGAATGCACATTCACCCAAAAATAGCAGAGTGACATGTTTGTTATCAGCCCAAACTAAGCATGGGTGTTTTGGTTCAATCTCAATAGAAAGAGGACAAATAAGCTTGGATTGTACTTTCGGTGTTTATTCAACCACAAATAGCAAAGCGAAGTGTAATAGGCCTAAACAAAGCCAAACAGGTTGTTTTGGGTTCCAGCTACATAGAACGAAGAATCTTGAATTTCACTTATTTCAAGTCGTGTTCTTTGCTGTTAATGCACATTGACGAAGAAATCGCAAAGGGTGTGTCGGGGAACCAGCCCACCAGGTGCGGAGGAAAGTGACAAGGAGTCGTGGTGAAGGTTTGAGCAAGGAGTGCCGCTCTCTACCAGCAGCCTTGCATGTTTATTAGCCTTGCGCACATAACATCATGTTGCATATACACGTGTAGCACACGGGTGGAAACAGCTAGGGTTTGCATATCTAATAATAACTGATCTCTACCAGGATATAACTCCAGACAGCATGACGGCCACGTAAGCTTTGTGGTTAAGCAACTCGACACTGACCCAGGCGGGTGGGGAAACTAATCAGCAGGTGTTTCCTCTTGCACAATCTTGCACAAGGCTGCTATTTTCCAGTGCACCCCCACATGCCCTCTTTCTTTATTTCATTTAATCAGAGTCATATATTTCATTGCGAAAGCGCTTATATCGGGCAACATATTCACGGCGGGGTACACCTAAGGAAGTGCGTCGGGGAGACCACCACCCCATACATTGGGTAATCAGCGAGGGAATACATTGTATGCAACAACAAATACACACAAATCCTATAACCAATCCTAAGCCTATTAGCAATAAATGACGAAACCATGAGCCATCGGGAAGCCAGGAAAGGAGCCAGGCCCAGGGGTCAGGAATGACAGGATGCAAAATCGGATTCTGTTGAATCATGGCTTCCATTTCATTAATAGTTGTAGAAATGCTAAGATTATAATCTTTAATATACATACAACAATGTGATAACACTAAACCACACACCCCTCCCTTGGAGGCCAATATGGTGTCTAAAGCATAACGATTTTGCAGGGTGACCTCACGAGTATTGGACATTTCTTGGTTAATTTCTTTCAAGGCTTTTATAGTTGCATTGAATAGCCCTTCTGTCCAGTTGGAGAGTCTATGGAGGTCCCTGTAATTCATGGCAACTCCAAGAGGGGGCATGGCAGCCCTAGCAATAACAGTTTCAACATATTGAACTATAGGAGCGTTTACTTCTCTCTTCTTGCGAAGCCGAAGCGAGGATATATTGTCTAACTTATAAATCAATGGAACTACAATACCAAGTGTACAAGTCCCCGAAAAGCTACTGGGGATTTCCTTATAGGCCTTCTTATCACAGAAAAGCCAAAGGTCATTTTTTAACCATGGATGGTGTCAGAGCTGCTTCCAGATCCTAGCTCACAGAGGATCACGCTAGCCAGCGATCATTAAACAAAAGTCTTTATTGAGTTACAGTTTCCATTCTCAAACTGCTGCGTGCAACTCTACGTCTCATGGTTAGACCGGCGAAGCTCCGTCTGAGTCTCCGCCCCTTGTACACCAACTTAATATCCTAGCCCTGCTCCACCTTTTCCGCCTGACTGTTCTTCTCTGGGTCCCTCTGCCCCCTGGGGTCTCTTCTTTCCGGGATTCCTCTGACGCTGACCCCCCTGACTCTTCTCCCTCCTTTCGGCGGGCTTTAGGACCTGGCTCCCTTTCCGGGCTGCCTACTGTGCCACCTTCCTGTGCATTTGAACTTGGCGCGCGCGCCCAACCTTCCACCTTCCGTCTGACCGTTTCTTCGCTCCCCGATGGAGGTGTGGCCACTCCTGACTCGTGCCCTCCCCCCTGTTGTGAGCTGCCAGCGCTTGATCCCTGGCTCCCTTCCTCTTCCCTGCTCTCTGGCGGTGACGCTGGTCCCGATTTCCAACTGCTCCCCTCTGAGTCCCCTCTGGCTCTATCTTCCTGGGGTGTCCCCCTAGGCTCCCCCCTTGCCCTGGCCACTGGTGCTCCTTTCTGTGAATCTTCTGATTCACTGGAAAGACTCGGAGATCTCGGGTCGTCGTCATCACTCATCTTTTCTTCTGCCTCCTCCCCCTCGCTCTCTGTTTCCTCCCGTGCCCTGGCCTCTGCTCCTGAACCCCTGACATCCATCCCCCACGAAGCCCCCGCATCCCCCCCTCCTTCCGGTGCGGGATCTGGGTGCTGCCGTGTCAGGGGACGAATGTCGGATACAGTTCGCTTCCCGTGGCGGGCCGCCATCTGAAGTCTTCCGGTTCTTCCTCCCTGCTCTCGTTGACGACGGTCACCTCCGCTTCCATCTCTGTGCCGCCGTGCTCGAAACCCGGGTCGTCCCCGAAACGTCCATGTCCGTCTCTCCCTCGTTACCTTCTGGAGACGTTGCTCGTCCTGGACCCTCCAGCCACCTTCTGCGGAACTGCTCCTCTGGTCGATCATCCCACCAATACGAGGGTTCTGAAGCAGATCCCGAGGGTGACCCCTCCGGGGAACGGGCGTCTCGTGTCGGTTCCTCGTCCGAGTCGAACCCCGGGAACGTGCTGGCTGAAAGCGTGGGCGTGAAAAGCCAGTCGTCGAAAAAGTCTGCTGGCATTGGCCTATGTGGGAAGAGGGCATGAAACTCTTCTTTGAGCAGAGGTTCGTCTAAAGCGTAGCCCGGCACCCAGCTGTTGGCACTGGCCGGGGTGCCCTCCTTGGCGAGAAGGTATTCTACCCCCTCTTCCCCCATCTGGAGTCCAAAATCTCCGTGGCTTCGTTGATGCGCTCCTCCCGTGCCACTCCCCCCTGCCCGGTTCTCTCTCGGAGCGGACCCGGTGCCGTTCCTGGTTCCTGAAACCTGTGAGGTGCCTTGTATGGAGTGAGCACCGATCTGTGGAACACCGGATGCATTCTGGAACCCTCCGGAAGAGCCAGCCTGAAAGCCACCGGGTTGACCTGTTCTTCGACTTGGTAGGGCCCCAGTTGTTTATGCCCTAGTTTCTTCTTCGCCAACGACCTGGCCGACACTGCGTGGGCTGCTAACCAGACCCAGTCTCCCACATGGATCTCTTCGCCAACCCTTCTGTGTTTGTCCGCTTGTACCTTGTATGCGTGTTTAGCCAGCTCCAGGTGCCGCCGCAGCTGATCGTGGACCTCCTGCAACTCCGACGCGAATGCATCTGCTGTCTGCGGCTCCCACTCCCCCATTCTTTCCAGTCCCGGGAAGGTTCTGGGGTGCCTCCCGTTGTTGGCGAAGAACGGCGTGACCCCCGTGGACACGTGCTTCGTGTTGTTGTAGGCGAACTCGGCGAGAGGCAGGTAATCCACCCACGTCGCAGGCTGTTGATTCGCATAACATCTCAGGTACTGCTGCATGATGGCATTGACCCGCTCCGCTTGCCCATTGGTCTGCGGGTGTCTAGCCGACGCCAGGTTGATCTTGACGTTCAGGAAGCCCATCAGCCTCTGCCAGAAGTTCGAGATGAACTGTCGCCCTCGGTCGGACAGAATAGACCGCGGCAGACCGTGAACCTTGAACACGTGGTCTATGAACAGTTTGGCGGTTTGTTCCGCCGTGGCCACCTTCGCACACGGAATGAAATGTGCCATCTTGGAGAACAAGTCCACCACCACCAGCACAGCCGTCTTGCCCCTCGAGCTGGGCAGATCCGTGACAAAGTCCAGGGCCACTCTCTCCCATGGTTCGAACGGAGTTTGCAGCGGTTCCAGCAATCCGGCCGGCGGTCTGTGCACTGGTTTGGCCCTCTGGCAGGTGTCACACCTCGCCACGTAGTCCGCGACTTCCCTCTCATTCCTGGCCACCAGAAGTCTCTGGCTACTAATTCCACCGTCTTCTCCTTGCCAAAGTGCCCGGCAGTGGGCGCGTCGTGCAGCTGCTGCAGTACCTTGGCGCGAAGTTCGTCTCCCGGCACGTAGATGGCCCCTTTACGGATGAGCAAACCATCTCGCAGCTGGAACTCGTCGGTCGCTGCCGTGCCCCTGTGCGCCTCTGCCATCTTTGCTTGCGCGAAGGAGTCATCCTGCAACGCTCGTCGCACCGCCTCCAGGTCAACTGTTGCCGCCGTGCACGCCCACACTGTCGGTGCGAAGATGTGCATGGCGGCCGCTGGCGTTGCCTCCTCCAGATACTGCGGCTTACGGGAGAGAGCATCCGCCATGATGTTGGTGTCCCCCGGGACATACTCTATTCGGAAGTCGAAATTCGCAAAGAACTCAGCCCAACGTATCTGCCTCTGGTTCAGGAACTGTGCCGTGCGCCAGTGCTCTAGATTCTTGTGGTCCGTGCAGACCTGCACCGTGTGCTTGGCGCCGATCAGGAAGTGCCTCCACGCTTTGAACGCTGCATGAATGGCCAGCAACTCCCTGTCCCAGATGGTGTAGTTCTGTTCGGACTTGCTGAGCTTCCTTGAGTAAAACGCTCCCGGCCTCCAAACCCCCTGCGGGTCCTTCTGCAGCAGGACTGCTCCCACGGCTCTGTCCGAAGCGTCTGTCTCCACCCTCATCGGCTTGCTGGGGTTGACATGAAGCAGTTGCCCTTCCGACGCGAAGAGACGCTTGAGTGCCTGGAAAGGACTGCTCCGCCTGCTCTGTCCAGATGAACTTCTTTTCTTGGAGCTGAGCGTGTCCGTGATGGCCGCTGTCTGCATGGCAAAGCCTTTGATAAACTTGCGATAGAAGTTCGCAAAGCCGACAAACCGTTGGACCTCCTTCCGGTTGCGTGGGCTTTTCCAATCCAACACTGCTCGGACCTTGGCGCTGTCCATGGCGAGCCCTTTATCAGACAACTTGTAGCCCAGGAAATCCACCTCCGTCACGTCGAATTGGCACTTCTCCAGCTTGGCGTAAAGCCTATGTTGCTGTAGCCTGCTCAGCACTTCCTTGACGTGTCTGTCATGCTCCTGCTGCGATTCCGAAAAGATCAGGATGTCATCCAAGAAACAGACGCACGTCTTGTAGAGGAGCCCCGCCAACACGTGATGCATGAAAGCTTGAAAACGTGGGAACCAGTTTGCAATCCAAAAGGCATAACTCTATATTCGTAGGTGCCCAGGGGCGTGAACATATCTGTATTCCACTCATCTCCTTCCCGCATGCGAATGAGGTTGTACGCCCTCGCAGGTCCAACTTAGTGAACACGCTGCCCTTCCGTACCTTTGCGAGGAGGTCGTCGATTCGGGGCATGGGGAAGTCCGATGGCTTGGTCACGCTGTTCAAAATGCGATAGTCCACTACAAGTCTTTTCTGGGGCGTGTCCCGCTTCTTAACAAAGAATACCGGACTGCCCCCGCTGCCTTGGACTCTCGGATGAAACCGCGCTCCAAATTATGATCTATGAACTCTTTGAGTTCCTGCAGTTCGTCCTCAGACATGGAATACAGCTTCCCTTTGGGCAGCGCCGCCCGGCAGCAGGTCAATTTTGCAGTCATATGGTCTGTGGGGGTAGCCTGTCTGCCTCCTTCTCGCAGAAAACCTCCAAAAATTCTGCGTACTTGTGGGGAACCGCTTGCAGCGTGCCTAGCTGCAGCTGTGACTCCTCTTCCTCTCCTTCCTGCCGGGGCACGATGCAGTGTTCAGCGCAAAAGGAAGAGCCGAAGGTCAGCTGCCTCTGGTACCAAGCCAGCGTCGGGCTGTGCTTGTCCAGCCAACTCATGCCCAATACAATGGGCGTGTCCGATAGTTGAGTGACATTGAAGCTGATGATTTCCCTGTGATTCCCAAGCCGCATCACCATTGGTGGCGTCTGCTTCACCACTTGCCCCCCTAGCAGCTCCCTGCCATCCACCGTGACAACCTGCAGGGGCAGCGTGGCAGGCAGCAACTGTATAGCGTGCCGGTCGACAAAGTCCTGCCCTATAAAGTCCGCATTGCTTCCGGAGTCAATGGTGATTGGCACGTCCATGGTGATTCCATTGGGCAGCTGGAGCGACGCGGTGAGCCTCACTACTGGTTTGGGCGGGAGGGGGTCCATGGGCTGTAAAATCTCTGGGGACTGCTTCACTGACACGTCTGGCTGGGCCCCAGTGCCTCTTCCTCCAACCAGACTCCGTCGTTTCCCTGCTGTGGTTCTCCTTGCTGCGTTGCTGCAGTTACCATTGCTGAAGCTGCAGTGTGCTTGTGGAGCCTCTGGGGACACTCTTTCGCCATATGCTGTGGAGCATCGCAGATGTAACACTTCCTGTTCCCTCTAGGAGGCTTCGCTCACTGCTGCCGGTGCTAGGGCTCTGGCTGCTGACTGAGCCCTTGCACCTCCAACCTCCATAGGTTCCGCTCCTCCTCCTGGCGGAGGCGTGGATTGCGCACGCGCTGCTTCTCTGGGAAGGAAGGAGGAGCCCCTGGCTGGTTCGCGCCCTCCACGCCCTTCGTCCCTGCTCCACGGACGTTCTTCCAGCCGCACCCCCACCGCCAGCGCCCTCTGAACGATCTCCTGCGTGGTCCGGGGTCTCTCCCCTCTCGCAATTTCATCTTTAACCGAGCCGTGCAATCCCTCCCAAAACAGGTCTCTTACAGGAGCCGAATCTCTGTCCCATTCCAGAGCACTGACCAAAGCGAAAAAGCGGGCATGGTACTGCCTTACGCTGGCCCTCCCTTGCTTCAGTCCATGTATCTGCTGCCGAGCAAGATCCACGTCAATGCTTGATAAAAAGCACCCATCCATCGCTTTAATAAAGGCATCCGCATTTTGGAGCGCCGGATCCTTATCTCTCCACAAATTGCGCAGCCATGCTTTAGCATCTCCATGCAAATGGGACATGATGAATCCCACCTTCTCTTGCTCATCTCTAAAGTCTTTGTCCAGCAGTTGCAGTGCACACATTACATCTGCTCTAAAGTTGGGGTACTGTTGCAAATTCCCATCGAAGTGAGAGACCAGACCGCCTGTTCGTCTCCCCAACCCAATCCTCCGGTTTGGGTGTCAGTTGCCCTTGCTTCGTAAGCACTTCCAACCTGACCTGGAGATCCCTGTAGGCGGCAGCTGCGTCCTCCTCTCTCTTCCTGGATGCAAGAGCCTCGGCATTCAGTCGTGACACTGCTTCTCTGAGTTCCGCTATCTGCTGTTCGGCCGTCATATTGTCTGCCTTTCGTGAGCTCGCTAGTAGGCACCCGCTTTCTCTCCTCTCCGCGAGGCCGTAGATGCCCACAATTTAAAGAGACGGAGCTTACTGTCAGAGCTGCTTCCAGATCCTAGCTCACAGAGGATCACGCTAGCCAGCGATCATTAAACAAAAGTCTTTATTGAGTTACAGTTTCCATTCTCAAACTGCTGCGTGCAACTCTACGTCTCATGGTTAGACCGGCGAAGCTCCGTCTGAGTCTCCGCCCCTTGTACACCAACTTAATATCCTAGCCCTGCTCCACCTTTTCCGCCTGACTGTTCTTCTCTGGGTCCCTCTGCCCCCTGGGGTCTCTTCTTTCCGGGATTCCTCTGACGCTGACCCCCCTGACTCTTCTCCCTCCTTTCGGCGGGCTTTAGGACCTGGCTCCCTTCCGGGCTGCCTACTGTGCCACCTTCCTGTGCATTTGAACTTGGCGCGCGCGCCCAACCTTCCACCTTCCGTCTGACCGTTTCTTCGCTCCCCGATGGAGGTGTGGCCACTCCTGACTCGTGCCCTCCCCCCTGTTGTGAGCTGCCAGCGCTTGATCCCTGGCTCCCTTCCTCTTCCCTGCTCTCTGGCGGTGACGCTGGTCCCGATTTCCAACTGCTCCCCTCTGAGTCCCCTCTGGCTCTATCTTCCTGGGGTGTCCCCCTAGGCTCCCCCCTTGCCCTGGCCACTGGTGCTCCTTTCTGTGAATCTTCTGATTCACTGGAAAGACTCGGAGATCTCGGGTCGTCGTCATCACTCATCTTTTCTTCTGCCTCCTCCCCCTCGCTCTCTGTTTCCTCCCTTGCCCTTGCCTCTGCTCCTGAACCCCTGACAGATGGCTTACTACTTTTTTTCATCCATTGTATCCATCCATCAAAATCATTGCACATGGCATGTTGCCCCCATGTCATATGGTAGGTAACATTCCCTATAACTACTGGTGGCCTTCCACTGCGTGTGGTTGTGTTCAAGAAACCAGAGGAGGTATTGACATATTCATAAGTCCAAGCACAATTAGGGTAGTTCCCTAGAAATACAGATGTGTTATGTTGGAACTTAAAGCACCTATCTGCTTGCTCCAGCAAGGTTAATACCACTGGTGGAGAACGTGTGCGGTTAATCTTGAGATTATTACTTATCTTAAAAGAATCATTAATGGGGATACCATGTAGCAATATGCCAGAGCGTCGAGCCTGCGGAGGAATGTGCATGCAAATCCAACAATCAGTATAATTCAAAATCTTTGACAATTGAGCCATGTCTTTTACAAATGTATTATCAGTCCAAATGGCATGATAGTCCTCTGAACGATTTGTTTTAGACAGAATGCTGGGATCATGGCTAGCTGAGCGTCGATGTCTTCGAAGGTGCTGTGGATGTAGCCAGCCGGTAGAATTTTTATGTTTCGGCCAATGTTGCAGGAACCAGATGGGCTGCGCAGGTGGGCAATATGGGGTATAAGGGAAAAGGACAACAACTGCCACTTCTTCACAGCCCCTGTGGAAGAGGGTGGCAACATTTCCTTTTTTCAGAAACCAAAAACCTGGTTTAGTCCAACAACCAGTGCGGCAGACACATGATCCCAATTGACTAATATAGGCTTTGTTAATTGGTGACAGGGAATGATTGAAAGACCATTCCCAATTTGTGGTGAGAACACAAATAGGGGTACTATCACGGGGCGGCAAAACCCATGCCAGACCTGTATATCGCGGGCATCCTTCATAGCCAGGAGAGTTTCCTAAGCAGGCAGCCGCAAAACCATAAGGGAACCTTATTGTGTGGTTCCAAAAGCGTCGTGGAGCTTGCAAAGAGTAAGGTACAAGATGGTTTGGTAGTTTTGCAGGAAAGACTGGTATCGCTGTTACAGGTGATTCCAACCACGGCACGTTCAGGGTCAGATGGCGATGTCTCCAAGTGCAGTAGGGACTCAGGGCTGCAGGAAGGCGACGTCCGCCAGAGAGGGTGAAGTATGGCTCGTTGCTGCTTTCACTTCCGAGGCAGAAGCTCGCCAGGGGCGCACACAGCGCGCCGGTAACCAGGTAGGCCGTCCATCCAGGTCCACCGCCGCGTAGCCGCGTCCCCAGGAGATCAGTGGAGCGGGGCCATGCCATGTTGGATCAGGTAGTTGTCTGTAAGACACAAGAGCCAAAGGCTCTGCTTTTCGAAAATGAATCTCAGCCGGTGTGTATTCCCTATTGTGGGGATACAAAAGACGGTTAAGAGTGAATAAAACAGTATGCACAATTGAAGGAATCTCGGCGGAGGGGGCATTTCGACCTCCAAGTTGTTTGGATAGCAGTGTCTTGAAGGTCAAGTGTGCCCTCTCCACAATCGCCTGTCCTGTTGAATTAAAAGGCAAACCATGGATTAATTTCACATTCCATAAATCACAAAAGGATGAGAATTGCGAAGAAATATAGGCAGGTCCATTATCCGTTTTAATGCTTTGTGGTTTACCCATCACAGCAAAACAGCGCAGGGTGTGCTGAATGACGTGACGAGCGGTCTCACCCTTCAATGGGGTGGCCCAGATAAATCCAGATGAGGTGTCCACTGTCAGGTGAACTTTTGAGAATGGGGCGAGCAGAGGGGTGTGAGTGACATCCATCTGCCAGACCGCAAGAGGGGACGTGCCCCTAGGGTTCACTGCATCAAAAGGAATCATGGTTGGAGCCTTAGAACAGGAAGAACATTGAGAGACAATGTCTCGTGCCTGCATGATGGGAATTTTAAACATTTTTGCCAGAACTTTAGCAGGCTGGTGAAAGGTAGAATGAGAGAGAATAGGGTCAGAAAACAAGGAAAACACTTCAGATCGTAGTGCAGCATCTGCCATGGCATTTCCCTCAGCCAAAAACCCTGGGTGATTGGTGTGGGAACGAAGGTGTGCAACATAAAAGGGATGACAACGTTCTTGAATAAGAGACTGCAAGGTAGAAAAAAGAACAAACAAGTCAGCATCTAACGCAGGCGTGATATAAGAAACAGGCAGGGAAGACAGAAGGCGATACACATATTGTGTATCAACAAGCAAATTAAAAGGTTTATCAGGAAAGAGTTGAAAGGCAAGGATTACAGCAGCAAGTTCAGCCCGTTGAGCGGACCTCTGTTGCTCAGTAAATTTAGTTTTCCATTTTCCGCCCTACTCCCATGCTACCACCCCCCGCGTTTTTGACCCATCAGTAAAGAGGGTAAGGGCAGAGGGGATGGGAGTCAGAGAAAGGGCAGTTTTTAGGGTATAGACAGTCTGAGACAGAAAAGACAAGCGTGGATCAGAGGGGGGATTATGCGTGATGGTTCCCAAAAAATCCACAAGTGCTACTTGAGTAGCTACGGAGGTGGAAACCAGGTGTTGTGTTTCCGAGAGGGAAAAAGGCAAATAAATTTTTTCAACGTCCAGTCCAGAGAGTGCTTTTGCTCGAGCGCGCCCTTTAATTACCAAATCCATTACAGCCGCCGGAGAAGAATAAATGTTGCGCGGTGGAGTATGCGGGAGGTGGATCCATTCGACAATGTTAACGCCCGTGGGAGCGGCCGATTTTTGTGAGTAGAGAATGGCTGTAGGCAGCAAAGGTGTGGAAAAAATTGCTAAAGACAGTTGCACATTATGGAGAGTGTCTATGCGATCCACCATTCTGTCTCTTAATAAAGCATTAACCTGTTGTAAGGCTTGTAACATTTCTTCTGTAACTGGGATGACTTCTCCGGGTAGTTTGTGTCCTTGTAAGGCAGAAAACAATGGTGACAAGGTGCTAATAGGCAGATTAAGGTAATTCTTTATCCAGTTTAGATGTCCCAAAAGTTGCTGAAGGTCAACCAGCCGTAGGCGGGCAGGAAAAGACAATTGGGGAACAACCGGAATGGCAGCTTGTTGTGTCAATTTGTGTCCAAGATATGACATGGGCAAGGTTTGCTGAACCTTATCTGGGGCAATACACAGTCGAAAATCTGTCAGGGCAAATGTAAGGTCTTTTAATACTCCCTCTGACATATCTTTGCCAGCCACAAGGATATCATCCATGTAATGACAACAGATAACCTCTGGGTGGCACTGGCGAAAGGGTTTTAGGGCTAAATTGACAAAGTGCTGGCATAAAGTTGGCGAGTTTTTCATGCCTTGCGGTAATACAACCCACTGGTAGCGTTCCGTTGGCTGAGCGTTGTTGAGAACTGGCAATGTGAAGGCAAAGCGCTGACGATCTGGTGGGGCTAGTGGTATGGAAAAGAAACAGTCTTTTATATCTACCACCAGAAGTTTGTGGTCTTTTGGTATCATGTTGGGATTAGGCATGCCGGGCTGTAACATGCCCATGGGTTGCATCTGGTCGTTTACCCTCCTTAAGTCCTGTAGGAGGCGCCATTGGCCAGAGGTTTTCTTTTTGATGACAAAAATTGGTGTATTCCATGGGGAGGAAGAAGGCTCAATGTGTCCGAGGCGAAGTTGTTCCGAGACAAGATGGGCCGCCGCTGCAAGTTTGTCTTTGGTCAGAGGCCATTGCTCAACCCAAACAGGCGTGTTTGATGTCCAGGTGAGGGGTAGCGTGGTCCTCGGGTATGCAGGGGCGGCCCTTAGAATAAATTTGTCTGAATGGAAGAGCCTGAAGCTTCAATAACATCCCGTCCCCATAAACAAACAGGAATGTCCAGAATAAGGGGGTAGATGGTAACAGAAAGACCCGAGGGGCCTTGAATCATAATTGGGTGAAGGCTTTGACAGGCTGGCGCTTCTCCCCCGACACCCAAAACTTGGGCAGCTGCCTTCGTAGGCCATTCGGGAGGCCAGTCTTGTTTAGCAATCACAGTAACATCTGCTCCGGTATCTAGAACCCCCTTTACCTCACGTCCACCCAGTGTCATTTTTAAAGTAGGACGCTGAGCTGTGAGGGGCATTGCGGCAGCAATTAAGGGGGTATTTGTAGGAGTTGTGGCGTCCGCAGGGAGCAGTATGACTTTAGCCACTGGCGTGCCAGATGGGAGATGGCAGGGACGATCAGCATATAGCGTAATGGTGATTGAGCTGTAAGGTCCCTTGATGACTCCGGGCACCGCATGTACCCCAACAGTTTGTGCAGAGGCAAGTGGCAGGACAAGACAACGTTGAGAATTGTCTATAGCAAATCCACAGGCCATAACCAAGGATTTGTGAGGACAAAATGGAACCGGGAATCGTACATCCTGAGTGAGAATAAGTTGCGGCATCGGGCATGGTCCCCCTATTGGTTTACTGGGGCCCGGGGGGGCCGTCTGCCGGTTTCCCTGGTTCTGGGATGATTGTCCTTGGCTAGGGGTTTGATTCTGATTCGCAGGGTTCGAGCGGCATTGATTTGCCCAATGAAAGCCTTTCTTGCAAATAGGACACTTAGAGGGGGGGCGCTTTCCAGACTGACTGCCAGTAGAGCGGCATTGTGCGCGGAAATGCCCAGGCTTATTGCATCCAAAACAAAGTTTGTCTTTCATAGGGTTGGCAGCCTGGGATAAAGCCGCGGCAAGTAGCCGTGCCTTGTGGCTCTCTGAGCCAATGGACTGGCAAGCCTTTAGCATGTCGGCTATGTTTATCCCTTGTTGGCTGACCAGAGGGCGAAGCGCCACTCTACAATCCTCATTTGCATTATCAAAGGCAAGTTGTTTCAGGATCACTTCCTGAACTTGAGGGTCTGCTATTTGGCGCTTAAAGAGTCATACAGGTGGTCAATAAAAACAGCATATGGCTCGCTCGGACCCTGGCGAACAGTACCCCAACGGGACGTACTGTCACCCTTCGTGTCAGGCACCTTTTGAAACGCTATCTTGGCGCAGCGGGTAGCAACTTCCCAATATTCAGCGCCCGCGGCAATCTGTTGGGCGATGGTAAAAAAATTGCCGGTTCCAATAAGGCCATGCAGAACGTCCTGAGGAGTAGGGACTGGAGGAGGGGGCGGAGGTGCTGCTCCTGCCGCAGGTGCTGGGGCTGCGGCCGCTGCAGCTGCCGCTGCATTGTTTAAAGCCGTGGCAACATTCGGGGCTTCCTGTTGACATAGAAACTGCCATTCCTGCATAAATACAATAACTCCTGACGGTGGTAGTATGGTCCTAGCCAACAATTTTATGTCTTCTGGGAGACAGGGTTGTTGGAAGATAGTATTTAAAAGGCCAAGCGTATAAGGAGCCTGGACGCCGTTTTTTTGGACGGAGTCATGCACCTCTTTAATTAGTCTATAGTCAAATTGTTCATGACGAGGTGGCCCTCCCCCTGGTCCGGCGGGCACCAAGACAGGAAAAAGCTCCGTGCCGGATGAAAAACCTAAGAGGGGGGCTGCTTGTTTTATTGCGGTCCCCAGTGGTGTCGGCGGAGGCGGTTGAGAAGTAACTGATGGAGCGGACGGTGCCGGTAAAGGCTGAGAATCTGGCGGTCGTGGAGGAGTAAAAGGTGGTGGTAGAGGAGGTGCGGCCGGATATATGGAAGGCATATTCGGGACTGTTTTTTGTTTTGGTGGCGACGAAGCCAAGAAGATGTTTTTGGGCGTAAGAGTTGCCATGCAGCCATGGACTTTAGCCCAGGCACTGAGGACGTGAACATTTATGCGGCCATGGCCATGGAGGTGGTCTCCAATTTTGTCCCAGGCCGGAATTTCCCATGTCCCGTCCTCAGGGAACCATGGACATTGTTCATCGATGGCCAAAATCAATTGAATTAAATCACCTTCAGGTGCTTGCTGTTTATTTTCCCGAAGGAGGTGTTGCATGTCCTTTAAAAATTGTTTCTGGGGGTTGGAGAGAGTAGAACCCATGATAAATAGAAAAGGAGCTACTCACCGGGGATCCGAAGATGAGAAGGCGCCTTGAGCCCGTGCCAGGCGGGTGAGTAGCAGGGAGGACCGTCTGTGGTAGCACGCGTCCTGGAAGCCATTCAGGCAATCACACGGGGCACCATTTGTCGGGGAACCAGCCCACCAGGTGCGGAGGAAAGTGACGAGGAGTTGTGGTGAAGGTTTGAGCAAGGAGTGCCGCTCTCTACCAGCAGCCTTGCATGTTTATTAGCCTTGCGCACATAACATCATGTTGCATATACACGTGTAGCACACGGGTGGAAACAGCTAGGGTTTGCATATCTAATAATAACTGATCTCTACCAGGATATAACTCCAGACAGCATGACGGCCACGTAAGCTTTGTGGTTAAGCAACTCGACACTGACCCAGGCGGGTGGGGAAACTAATGAGCAGATGTTTCCTCTTGCACAATCTTGCACAAGGCTGCTATTTTCCAGTGCACCCCCACAGTTTTGGGTTCCAGCTACATAGAACGAAGAATCTTGGATTTCACTTATTTCAAGTCGTGTTCTTTGCTGTTAATGCACATTGACGAAGAAATCGCAAAGGGTGTGTATGCAGACCAAAATAACACAACACTGTCTTTTCGCTTCCATATGCGTAGAAAGAAGACGAATAAACTTTGATTGGGCTTATTTCCTTTCGCATGGTGTTTTTAGGGTGTGCACCAGAATCACCCCCAACCAAAGCAAAAAGGTGTTTTGGGCTTCCATCTACATAAAAAGAAGATGATAAAGCTCTGGTTGGGGTAATTTCAAATTGGTGTTTTTGGGGTTAGAATGCACATTCACCCAAAAATCGCAGAGTGAAATGTTGGTTATCAGCCCAAATCAAGCATAGGTATTTTGGTTCCATCTCAATAAAAAGAGGACGTATAAGTTTGAATTGTTCTTTCGGTGTTCATTCACCCTAACCCAAAACCTAACCCTAGTAAAGCAAAGTGTAATAAGCCTAAACAAAGCCAAACAAGTTGTTTTGGGTTCCAACTACATAGAAAGAAGAATCTTGGATTTCACTTATTTCAAGTCGTGTTCTTTTGGTGTTCATTCACCCACAAACAGCAAAGCGAAGTGTAATAAGCCTAAACAAAGCAAAACAGGTGGTTCTGAGTTCCATCTACATAGAAGGAAGAATTTTGGATTTTGCTTTGTTTGGACTTTGCTTTCTGTTTTTTGGTTGAATGCTTGCACACCTAAAGAACCAAGTGAAATCTTCCCAAATAAACTTATTTGTCTTCTTTCTCTGTATATTGAAACAAAAAGAACCTGTCTTGCTTTTTGCCCTTACTTGACTTCCTTTTCCATTTTGTGCACCCAAAAACCTGAAACCAAGTTCATAAGCCCAAACAAAGCTTATTCGACCTTAAAAAGGTCAAGGTAAAGGGACCCCCTGAGCATTAGGTCCAGTCGTGACCGACTGGGGTTGCGGGGCTCATCTCGCTTTATTGGCCGAGGGAGCCGGCGTTTGTCCGCAGACAGCTTCCGGGTCATGTGGCCAGCATGACTAAGCCGCTTCTGGCAAAACAGAGCAGCACACGGAAACACTGTTTACCTTCCCGCTGGAGCGGTACCTATTTATCTACTTGCACTTTGACGGGCTTTCGAACCGCCGACCTTCTGATCCACAAGTCCTAGGCTGTGTGGTTTAACCCACAGCGCCACCCTGTGGGATGTGAAACACAAGAGCAGTCAAGTACAACATTCCTAGAGTGTACATGTTTAGACCTGGGGAAGGATGTTTGTCCAACCAGCAGATAAACTTCCTGTTTCCCTCTGGGCTGGGACAGACTTCCTCTACATGTGACTAGAGGTGGGTGTGGCCTCACCTGTGCAGGTAATGACAAAAGCACAGGACAGGGCAGCCATCTCTCTCTCTTTCACCACATGCATCGGAGGAACAACATCTACTGAGTGAAAGATGCCCTCTTGGCTCCCAGCCAAGAGAGGACAAAGGGACTGTCTTCTTAAGAGATAGACTCCAAATGTATATTACTTCACTAAGCTTAAGTCTGCCTTCTGGGATCTGATTGTGAACAGAATGTGAGTAAACTCTTTTTTATACTTTTGTAAAAGACTGTGTTGTCTCTTCCATTTTATGAGGGAATAAGGGGAAATTACCAGAATAGTTATTATAGAGGCTTAAGCGAGCCTGGGCAAACGCTGCCGTGGCAAACTTAAAATAAAGGGGAATATTTTACTCTGCTGAATTTGGGGAACTTGTTAACACAAGTTGGATAAGGATATAATCAGACAATATATCCTCTCCTGCATCCATGAACATTTCCACACACCCACATCCCTTATTCGACCTTACACCACGTTTTTCCAATTTTCCAGCACCCAACCCCCCCCCAAAAAAAAACCAAAAAAAAAAAACCAAAGAAAAGAAGAAATAGCATACTCGTCATGTTTGTCTGCAAGATGACCAAAACAACGGCTGTTGCTTTGTCTGGACATTTCACTTCCTTTTGGATTTTTCGATGGATTTGCATGCACAGCCAAAAACACGAAACCAATCCAAATAAAGCTTATTCGTATTTTTCTATGCAAATAGAAGCAAAATCAATGAGTTTTCGTTTGTTTGGGATTCTTTATGAAACAAAAGAACTCTGTTTAAAACCCTCCTTTGTTTCGTTTGGGCTTCTTTCACCGCTTTGTGTTTTTTGGGTGAATATGCATTCACACCTAAAGAACCAGAAACCATGAAATACACCCGAATAAAGCTTGTTCTTTCTATGCAGATGGAATAAAACATAACCAGTTTTCCTTTGCTTGGGATTCTCCCTTCGCTTTGCGATTTTTGGGTGCACAGTGAAAGAACCTGAAACCAAGAGAAAGATAGAATCATAGAATCATAGAGTTGGAAGAGACCACAAGGGCCATCGAGTCCAACCCCTGCCAAGCAGGAAACACCATCAGAGCACTCCTGACATATGGTTGTCAAGCCTCTGCTTAAAGACCTCCAAAGAAGGAGACTCCACCACACTCCTTGGCAGCAAATTCCACTGTCGAACAGCTCTTACTGTCAGGAAGTTCTTCCTAATGTTTAGGTGGAATCTTCTTGTAGTTTGGATCCATTGCTCCGTGTCCGCTTCTCTGGAGCAGCAGAAAACAACCTTTCCTCCTCCTCTATGTGACATCCTTTTATATATTTGAACATGGCTATCATATCACCCCTTAACCTTCTCTTCTCCAGGCTAAACATGCCCAGCTCCCTTAGCCGTTCCTCATAAGGCATCGTTTCCAGGCCTTTGACCATTTTGGTTGCCCTCCTCTGGACACGTTCCAGTTTGTCAGTGTCCTTCTTGAACTGTGGTGCCCAGAACTGGACACAGTACTCCAGGTGAGGTTTGACCAGAGCAGAATACAGTGGCACTATTACTTCCCTTGATCTAGATGCTATACTCCTATTGATGCAGCCCAGAATGCATTGGCTTTTTAGCTGCCGCGTCACACTGTTGGCTCATGTCAAGTTTGTGGTCAACCAAGACTCCTAGATCCTTTTCACATGAAAAGAAAGCTATTCCTTTTCACATGAAAAGAAAGCTTATTCCTCTTTCAGCTATGCATATGGAAGCAAAAACAACGAGTTTTCCTTTCTTAGGGATTCTTTCACTTCGCTTTGCTGTTTTTGTGTGCAAGGCCAGAGAACCTGAAACCATGTCAAAGCCCAATCAAAGCTTATTCATTATTTTCTTTGCAAGGTGACAAAAAAACAATGGTGTCAGGGGTTCAGGGACAGAGGCACAGGGTAGGGAGGAGATGGAGAGCGATGGGGATTCATCCCAGGACAGCGAGGAAGAGGATGACAATGACTCAAGAGATTCCATGAGTCTTTCCAGCGAATCAGAGGATTCCCAGAAGGGGGCGCCAGTGGTCAAGGCCAGGGGAGCCCCAGGGGGGACGTGTCAGGAACAGGGGGCCAGCGGGGGATCCCAAAGTGGCAGCTGGGCGTCAGGACCAGCCTCCCCGCCAGAGTGCAGCGAAGGGGGTGGAGGTTCCAGTGTATCAGGGGAAGCAGCTCCGGCAGCAGAGAAGGGAGGGAGGTCGGAGCAAGCCACCCTCCCGGAGGGGAGGGGAGTAGTGAAGGGAGTAGTGTAACTGTCAAAAGGAAAGTTAGAGGTTGGGCGCGCGCGCCAAGTTCAAATGTAGAGGCGCGCGGAAGTACAGGGAGCCCGGAGGAAGAGCCAGGTCCTAAAGCCCGCAGGAGGGGGGAAGAGCAGTCGGGGGATAGCGCGTCAGGGGAATCCAGGAGGGGGTTCTCCCCAGCGGGCAGGAAGACCCTGAGGAAAAGGAAAGAGAGAAAGAGGTGGAGCAGCGCAAGGCTCTTAAACTGGTGCAGGGGAGGGACTGACTCAGAGGGGACTTCAACGGTCTAAGCGTACAGACGTGGGGCTGCGCGCCTCGGATATGAAGCAAACAATGAACTGCAATAAACACTTTTGTATATAAGAAGAGATTGGCGTTGGTCTTTTGTGAGCTGAGACCTGAGGCAGCCTTGACAAATGGCTTTTGCTTTGTTTGGACTTTTCGTTTTGCGATTTTGGGGTGAATATGCGTACACAATCAGAACACAAGTTAAATAAACGTCTTTATATGCATATGGGTGTGCATATTGAAACAAAGTGAACCTGTTTTGCTTTATTTGGCCTTCTTTGTTTTGCCATGTTTGGGTGAATATGCGTGCACACCCAAAAACCCGAAACCAAGATAAGCCCAAACAAAATTTATTCGTCTTCTTACGACGCATATGCAACAAAAAACAGCCTGTCTCTCTCTCTCTCATTCTCTCTCTTTCCCCCTTCTCTCTCTTCCTTCCCTCTCTCTCTGTCCTTCCTTCCTTGCTTCGTCCTTCCTCCCTTCTCTCTCTCTCTGTCCTTCCTTCCTTGCTTCGTCCTTCCTCTCTTCTCTCTCTCTTTATCTTTCTCTCCTCTTTCTCTCTCTTCCCTTCAATCTTTCTCTCCCTATCGCTTTCTCTCTCTCTCCCTTCCTTCCATTTTTCTATCCCCATCCTTCCATCTCTCTTCTCTCTTTCCTTCCTTCCTTCTCTCTTTCTCTTTCTTTCTTTCTCTCTCTCTCTCTCCTCTCTTCCTTCCTTCTTTCCATCTCTCTCCCTTCCTTCCATCTCTCTCTCCCCTTCCTTCCACCCTCTCTTTCTCTCTCTCTTTCCCTTTCTCCCTTTCCTCTTCCTTCCTTCTCTCTCTCTCTCCTTCCTTCCATCTATTTTTCCTCTCTTTTCCCCTTTCTCTCCCCTTCCTCTCGCTCTCTCCTCTCTTTCTCCCTCCAATTCTCCCTTTCTCTCCCTCTCTCTTTCTTTCCTTTTTCTCTTTCTCTCACCCCTTCCTTCCTTCCTGCACTCATTCCTTCCCTCTCTCATTCTCTCTCTCACCCCTTCCTTCCTTCTCCTGAGCTGTTGAAGGCTTTCTCCATTAGAAGTAGCCCTTGGAATTGGGTGCAGCTGGTGCTGTCAAGGTAGGATCTGTGTCAGATGCTGAATCTGTCTTGCCCCGGTTAGCAACCTGGCTGCCAACTTCTGCACTGGCTTAAATGTCCAAAGCGTCTTTGGAGGCAGCCGAAGCGTCTTCGGAGGCGAGATGCGGACCTTGAGGCTGTCCAGCTGTCACGGCTTTCCCTGTCCGGGGGGGGGCAGCTGGGTCTCCAGTCGAAGTGGAGGGAAGGCCACAGAGGCCCCCCGGCCTCAAGCAAGGACCCTGAAGCAAGGGACCCCCCTCCTTCCGACAAAGGGTCAGCCGAGGAAGAGCTGCCCACTAGGGTTGCCTTATGATGGGCAAGAGAGCGAAATCATTCAAGGATGAGGCACAGAGAATTTCCATTAGACTTCTTTCTAGTTTTGCCAAGCCTGCTCCTGTCCCTCTAATAGGAGACTGATCTTCAGATATCAGAAAGTCAAGCTTTGGCTGGCTATAAATTATTGGGTTGTCTTTGTTTTTATTATGTATTTTGTGTTTTTTATTTTGTTTATCTGATGCTGTGAACTGCCCTGAGATTTATGGGTAAGATTTATGGGTATACAATTGTTGTTGTTGTTGTTGTTGTTATTTTGTAAACTTCAAAAAAAGAAGCCAGGGCCGTTTGATAATAATCTGCCAAAATAACGGTTAGCAACCAGAGGCAGCTAGTTTTAATGGTCTTATCAGATCTTCTCCATCTTTTTCAAATATTTCTAATCTTTCAACTCTTTCCAATCCTCAGTGGGAAAAGAAAATGAAAGCTCACCTCACCAGTGTTTCTAGGGGACCCAAGCACCTGGAGGTCACAGCATTATGGGTGAAAGGATGTCAGTGGCAAGGAGGCCTGGGACAATGGGCCAGGTGTTTGCATGTGCCCCCCCCCCCAGTTCAACTACGGCCTCCACTGGGTTTTCCAGAAGCCATGCGAGATTTTTCAGCCAAGCAGGTCAAGGCAATGTTATTATTACATTGATTAAACTAATTTTATTAAATTTCTATGACACCCCTCATTGGGGGATCATATGCTTGTTTCACCTCTGCACTCTAAGTTATGGGTGGCCTTTCTCTCTTGCCAGCATTGTATATTGGAAACAAAAAATGCCCAGTTTGAAATTATTATTATAATTATTATGCATTTATTTGTACCCTGCCTTTTCCCTGATGGGAACCCAAGGCAGTTTACGGATGAAAAGAAGACAAGCTAAAACCTGGGCGGGGGATCTACAATTAAAAAGCAATTAAACACTGATAGAATTAAAACTGTGTGTGTATACATATAAATATCTTGTAAAACCAAACTAATAATGGCAATAAAAACAGCACAGCAGAAGCCCTTTCATTAAAAGCACATTTTTATTTTATATTGATGTATACTTCGCTAATTGTAGAGTTGGAAGGGACCCCAAGGGTCATGCAGGAATCTTTCGCGCAACATGGGACTCAAACCCATGAATCTTGGTCAAAATTTTAGGCCTTTATAGTGCAATCCTATACACATTCTCTCAGAAGTTCTTTGAAGTTCAGTGAGTTTGATTCCCAGGCATAGCCCCGCAGCCTTCCAGCAAAGGCTCCTCTGTGTGCTGGAATTTATATATATTTTTATATATAGTTGTAAAGTATTTTGTACTTCTTTGATTTTACCACCCGAGGGATTGATATAGGCACAAAAGGCCTTATGATCTTCAGATGGACAGAAACTCCGTTGAACCTGTGTTCCTGTGGTGGAATCTAAAAATGAAAACACTTTTTCAAAAAAAAAGGTGTTTTGAAGAATATATTGAATTTGCCATAACCTCACAATTGCCATCTAGTGTCACGTTTGTATAATGCACCTTCAAACATTATATTTGCAGCCGTAGAGCTGAGTCTGGTGTCCTGGGCAAGGGTGGTTGGGATCCCAGGGTAAATATAAGGCGCAAGATCTTCTAGCACCACAAGTTTTTGCAAGTGGTCTCTATGAAAAGCCAGTCATGTGTTGTGCTGAGACTTATAGTTTAGGGGCAAACTACAGTTCCCATGATTCTTCGGGGGTGGAGTCATGTGCTGTAATGTTATGCCATGTCCACAGCCACTAACCGCAACAAAGAGGAATACTTTCTGGTGAATTTTCCTTAAATTGTCTCGTCTCAAGTATATTTTTAGCATTTCTCTTGAAATTTTTTGATTGATTTGACATTTGTTTTAAATACAGAACGTAATCCAGTGTTTAATCCAGAAGCCAGCCAGCTTTGGTGGAAAGATTAGCAGAGCAAATATTAGCACTGCTCGATCCAAGGAATACTTGGAGGCTTTTAAACCAAGCCCGGTCAGAGAGCAGATACTGTACGGTGTGAAAACCCCTATGAAGAAAAAGAGAAAGGTCAGAGCACTTTCCATTGGGAGTTTCCCAGTTTGGGAGAGAGCAGGAAAGCAAAGGTCCTTTTGTAGTCCAACCCTCTGCAAGGGAAGAATCTTTTTGCCCCTCAAACCCAGGACTTTGAGATGGAAAGTCTCCTGCTCTGCAGACTGAGCTGTCCCAGTGATTTTCAGCGTCTGGGCATGCGCAGAAGCAATTTCCAGAGCCGCAGACACGCACAGATGTGATTTCTGTGGGAGTGATCTGGCCCATGGCCCTGGGTTAGGGTTAGGATTTTGTTAGGGGTAGAGTTCCCTTCTTGCCAGGGAACCCTGGGAACATGGGGCTCAAAGGATGGCCCTGAGATTAAGAGTCTTGTGCTCTGCCCAATGAGCTATATTGATTGATCTAAATAACAAACACTATTTTTTATTATTTAATAATTTACAGTGATGTAAAATAAAGGGCAATATAAATAAATAAATAAATAATCCCTCAACTGCCAAAACAAATGGTCTTGTAGCACTGTAAAAACGTAACAGATTTTGGGGAAACTGTTTAAGAGGGGGCCTTGGTGAGTGCTAAGAGGGTGCCATGGAGTCCACGTGCCACCCTGGGAACCTCAGTCTGGACCCTAATGATGAAGCGAATCACCAGTCCCTACATAATGGGAACGCCATGTGTAACATTAACCCCACAAGAGAGGTTGGTCTTTGTTCTCGCCTGGGAGCGGAGCGATTGAGAGAGTGAGGAGGTGCAGGCTCCCAGAGTGAGGAGGTGAGAGATGCTTCCAGGTTGTTCTTGTTGCAGTTCAAAGGCCTGGGACGTGCCTCCTTCGCATCCGGCTCCCCAAGGCCACTTTGCACGACACCCACCTCCCAAAGAAGAGAATTACAGAGTCTCATGTGCCTTCCATTTCGGGAGAAACTTCTCAAAGGAATATTTGCTCCCTTACAGGTTAACGGGTGTCAGGGGTTCAGGGACAGAGGCACAGGGTAGGGAGGAGATGGAGAGCGATGGGGGTGAATCCCAGGACAGCGAGGAAGAGGATGACAATGACTCAAGAGATTCCATGAGTCTTTCCAGCGAATCAGAGGATTCCCAGAAGGGGGCGCCAGTGGTCAAGGCCAGGGGAGCCCCAGGGGGGACGTGTCAGGAACAGGGGGCCAGCGGGGGATCCCAAAGTGACAGCTGGGCGTCAGGACCAGCCTCCCCACCAGAGTGCAGCGAAGGGGGTGGAGGGTCCAGTGTATCAGGGGAAGCAGCTCCGGCAGCAGAGAAGGGAGGGAGGTCGGAGCAAGCCATCCTCCCGGAAGGGGAGGGGAGTAGTGAAGGGAGTAGTGTAACTGTCAAAAGGAAAGTTAGAGGTTGGGCGCGCGCCAAGTTCAAATGTAGAGGCGCGCGGAAGTACAGGGAGCCCGGAGGAAGGGCCAGGTCCTAAAGCCCACAGGAGGGGGAAGAGCAGTCGGGGGATAGCGCGTCAGGGGATCCAGGAGGGGCGAAACCCCAGCGGGCAGAAAGACCCTGAGGAAAAGGAAAGAGAGAAAGAGGTGGAGCAGTGCAAGGCTCTTAAACTGGTGCAGGGGAGGGACTGACTCAGAGGGGACTTCAACGGTCTAAGCGTACAGACGTGAGGCTGCGCGCCTCGGATATGAAGCAAACAATGAACTGCAATAAACACTTTTGTATGTAAGAAGAGATTGGCGTTGGTCTTTTGTGAGCTGAGACCTGAGGCAGCCTTGACAACGGGTGACCTCTCCCTTCTGTTTTAGCTGATTCTGGAAAAACAAAACACCATGGGTAAAATTTTCTGTGCTGGATTGTTGATATTCTCCTGTGTTTTGGCAGGTGAGTTTATCAGAGTGTTAAATAAATTTATCCCAGCAACACAAATGAGGGATGTGGTTATTTAGCAAACGCAGGGGAGTTTTCCTATTTGTTCCTATTTCCTATTTGTTCTTTGACTGTTTGTGCATTAAATTGTGCAAAGATGTGATTTCTCCAGGCCAATGAGACCTGGCCTGGAGAAAGTGGATAGAGGAAAGTTTTTCTCCCTCTCATAACGGTAGAACTCACAGAGCTGGACGCTGGAAGATTCAGGACACATCAAAGAAAGGAAGTACTTCTTTACAAAGCGCACATTATGGAACTTCCTGCCACAAGAGGCAGTGGTGGCCACCAACTTGCAACTTCCGCTCAGGATTTTCCCCAGGGTAAGCCCCATTTCAGCCAGCATACTCTGCACCCTCCTCAAATGCTTTGGCCTGGTTGGGAGGTTTCCTGGTGTTAACGGAAAATTTCGAGGGCTCCCTTGGACAAAAACAAAGACACCAACCAGGATAACTTGGAGCAAAACAGCAGCCTGTAGGCTTGGCCTTTATTGATCTGTTGCAACAGGGTGCTCCCCCACTTGCAGGAGAGAGGAAGGACCCAGAAAAATGGTGTGCAAGACCTTATAAAGACTTTTGAAATTGCCACCTTGTAGATCAAGACCACCCCCAGAAACATACATCACAGAAAGGAGGGGTTGAGGGAGGAGTTGTGTCCTGTCTCCTGGCTGGTTCCCCCTTTCCTCCCATGTGTACTTTCCAGGTGACAGAGGGGAGTTTGCAGTTTCCTAGTTTCCTGCCCCCAGAGGGAAGAGCTGATTATTGTCCTTTGTTCCAGTCCGTGCCGAATCCACTCCCATATGCAAGTTCTTTGTGATCTTGATGGTCTTCTGTCTAGGACCATCAGGGTTGGCATAGCAACTGGGCAGGGCTCCTGTGTATGTGCTGGTATGCTGAAGGGATTATGGCTGCCCTGTATCAAACCTTCCCCATTTTGTAGTCCTTCCTTCATGGAGTAAAATAAAAGTGGAACAGTGCAAATCCGATGTATGGTTGATTTTCTATGAATTTATAACAGAAGTGTAGCGTATGTAGTGTGTGTGTGTATATATATGTGTGTGTGTGTGTGTGTGTGTGTGTGTGTGTGTGTGTGTGAAGTTTGTACAAACTGAATGATTGGGGGGGGGTTCCTGCGACACTGGTAACCCTCTCCCTTCTGGTGGTGCCAATGTTCCCCTGGCCTTGAATGCCCCCTTGACCGCTCACCGCAACCCCGTTCATCTCCACCGTTGCCACAGTCCTCAGTGCGGGCAGGGGCCACGCAGCCGCTTGGCAGGCACGGCTCACTTGGGGCGCAGCTCCAGGGACCTGGAAATGTTGGGAGGATTAATGGGTTGCCTCCAAGCAATCTATCTGGTTGGCCAGGTTTTGGGGAGGTGGAAAATAAAGCTTTACTTTGGGGGCGACAGTTCCTGAACTACATGTTGTCCAGTGCCACACTCATCACCGAGAAGGTCACCTGCGCTCTTGACATGCTCCAGATAAGGAGCGGCCGGGGAGGGTGAGGAGCCCAAGACCCACCTGGAAAGCACTGCGGATTCTTCCGGTGTAGGCCAGCAGGGGGCGCCGGGCACCTGAGGGTGACGCAGGGCTTCGCCACAGGGGACAATCTGGCTTCCGAGGCTCAGCTCCACTGGGAAGCTCCCGTTGAGTCCTGCAGGGGAAGGGCGGAGGGGTGAGGAACCAGGGGTCATCTAGCCTGACCCTTGCAGATGGGAACCATAGATATATAAACATTTTTATCGGTCAGCTGCCAGGAATCCCAAAGGGGGACGGGAAGCAGGGCATCAGTAAATTTCATGATAAGAATGATATTTCATTATGCCGGCCCTACCAGGCGGGTCAGTAGTCTGGAAATCAATAAATAATAATTATATGATATCACCACGGTATGTCCTGCAGCTTAGAAATGTAATATGTGATATCAATATGGAATTACGACAACTGTGCCTCGTGGCATTTCCTCCACACAGGGAAAAAGGCCAAGCACATGGCTCTGCGCCTGTTGGATTTCTGACCACCAGTGCCCCAAGCTTACCTTTCTCGTACCAGGTGCGGAGTTCACAGGCTGTGGCCGCGTCACTCATGGTCAGGGAGCGGAGTCAGGTGGCTTGGTTCGCTGCTCCGAGGTGCTCATGTACCAGCCTGGTTGGGGGGCACCAGGTCAAAGGGGTGCTCTAACTGCTTAGCAATGCTTCTCTGCCTTTCAAATGAAGCAAGTTTACCCTGGTCAGTGCCCATGCTGACGTCCTCCCAGCTGCAGGCGGTGCCTTCAAAGTCACAGGCCAAGGCGACACTCGGCGGTGCCAGCCCATTGGTTCCCAGAGTTCAGGGCACCAAGTGCTGTTCCTCCCATGAACTACAGTTCCCAGAGTTCCCAAAGAAGAGAAATGGGCTTGGGACGGCAAGGAGTTGTATACTGTGGAATGCAAGGACAGATTGTTTACTGTTCAGATGCCACAACCCTCAACACCCAGAGCAAGCAATAGTTCCCAGGGTGCTTTGGGGGGACATCGTGGTAACTGTAGTTTGTTCCGTTTCCCAAAGAGACCCTCTCAGAGCTATAACTCCCAGAGTTCCCTTGGGAAAGGTTGCGCAGAATATTCTCTCCCCCCATAGGAAACTACAGTTCCTATGCTTTGAGAGATGCCGTGATGGGTTAAATACTATCTGCGAGGGGAATTGAAGCACATCTCCTTAATTCCTTTGGTGACGCCAAAACTGGTGTCAATGGATCTTGTCAGAGCAATCCCAGCGGTCTTTGGTGACGCCAAAACTTACCACAATGGATCTTGTCAGAACAATGCCAGCAGGCGAAATTGCAGGTGCCAGCACTAAGGTTCCCGGAGGCAGCCCAGCTAGGAAAAAACCGGGGGAAGTGTCATTAAAAGGAGAGGAAGAGAGACAGGGAGCATGGGATACATGAAAGGGGCATCAAGGGGCATCTAGTCCAACCCACTGCAAGGAAGCTCATATGTATTTTAGGGCACTGTTTTGTGAAGTATTCTCTGCTTTTCCCCCATGCTTTTTGAAACTCTTTGTCTAGTGTGATCTCTAATTGCCTCTGTTAATCTAGCCAGTTCAATATACTCTAACAGTTTGTCTTGCCATTCCGTTTTTGTTGGCACAGCTTCTTTTTTCCAGTTTTTAGCAATTAGGATCCTTGCCACTCCTGTGGCATAGAGGAATATTTTCTGATCTTCTCTTGCTATACCTGTGTCTGTTATCCCTAGTAGAAAAGCTTCTGTATTTTTCATAAAGTTATACTAAAACATTTTTTTAAGCTTGTCATAGTGTTTCCACTTTTTTGGAGCAGGAATTCAGCAGAGCCCATACAGACCCGAGAAATATCAGTGGGACAGGTTTCTTTCAGAAAAACTGAAAGAGGGGGTCCATGTAAAAACAGGCATAGGATATATCAAGCTCAAATTGCAGTGCAAGGAGTAATAAAGTACCGTATTTTTTGCCCTATAGGACGCACCTTTTCCCCTCCAAAAATGAAGGGGAAATGTGTGTGCGTCCTATGGGGCAAATGCAGGCTATCGCTGAAGCCTGGAGAGCGAGAGGGGGCGGGGCGCACCGACCCTCTTGCTCTCCAGGCTTCGGGCAGATATCCGCAAGCCTGGGAGACCGGCGCGACTTCCTGCCAGGCTCCCAAGGCTTGCGGACAGCAGCCTGCAGCCCGAAACCCGGGAGCGCAGCCTGGGGGGAAAAATAATTTCCCCTCCTTTATTCCCCCCCCCCAAAAAAACTAGGTGCGCCCTATGGGCCGGTGCGCCCTATGGGGCGAAAAATACAGTTTACAGGGAAGTGAGACTACTGTGCCATCATACGACTAACTTAAATGAATGCTATTTCTATTATTTCTGAAGCATTTTCCAAAGAATCCTGTGATGGTCATCAAGTCCAGCTCGCTGCAACCCAGGAATATGCAGGTGTCACAACCTTCTGCTCAAAGGTGATTGAATTTAATTGCTAGATGTTGCACTTTTAAATGACACTTTCAGGGATATTTAGGTATAGGATCCACACCTTCTCCTGCAGCTGCAAGTTATGCCATGAAGGACACCTTGCAATCAGTTTACTGACTGGAAGCAGAGTTTACTGACTGACTGACAGCCTCCCCAGGAGCATTTCAACAGTCAGGAGCAGACCTGAAGCCTTCAGGGTGATTGCACATTGCTAACAACATTTATACCTCCAGCAAAAGGGGGGAATGAGGCTCATGAATGTAGAAAGTGCTTTTCTTTAGAGCACCTCTTAACATTGCAAAGTGCTGCAAGTGTCCAAAACTGGTCTGAAGTTGCTGTTTTGTAAATATTATTTCTGCTTTTGAAAATCTTAACAACACAAATGGCTTTTGGGGCTGCCCACTATAGCAGGGGCTGATCCCCATTTATTCTTGTGGCATTCAATTCAAGGTATGTGTTTTGACTTTACTTGGCTAGTGTGGATAAATCTGGAGGAATTACCTGGTTCCAAAACCACTGATGGAAGCAATGGTTCGTCTGAGCAAATTAAATTTTCAGCACATTGCTTGATTAGGCTCACAAAAGCTGTCTAAGGGTTAAATGCAATAGAGATCTCAAGCCAATTACTTGGGAGTTGCTGAGAAATGGGGAAAGGAGACAGGGCCGGGGGTGTTTCTCCCCAAAATAGAATAAATAAAAAAACCTCTACTGTTAAGGGTTAGGGGAGACGAGACCAAGCCCCAAATGTTCTTTAAAGGGCTTTACAGCCTTTAAACACTTCTGGGAGGGAAGGTTATTGGTGTTTTTAAAAACTATTTACAGATATTTCTACCCCGTCTTTTTATCCCGTGAACCGCCAGATAAATCCACTATAGTAAATAACAATAAAAGACAACACCCTGCGTCGCCGTTAATTCGGTTCTGCCCCCCCCCCAGCCTTTAAAATGAATTTTGACCAAGGGTTCCCCGGCCGCGCATGCAGGCCACACGTTTCCCCCTCTCAACGAAGCAGGTAAAGGGGCAAAGAGGACTCGCCCTCCGGGGCCAGCGGCTACCCGTGGACCGCGAGCTCCGGCTGGTGGCAAACACGGAGAGGATCCTACCTCGGAGAGGAAAGGGTTAGCTAATCCGCCCAGCGATTTGCCCAGATCCGTGAGAAGTTCCGCCTATTGCCGCCGACGTCCCTCTCCCCCCATCTTTCAAAATGGAGGCGCTTCCGGCATCTATTTCCCTGACACAAAATGGCGCCGCTGGCAACAACCGCCATAAATGGAGGCGCTTCCGGATATTAATTCCCTCATCTAAAATGGCTACGGTAACATTATCCGCCCTTTTCCACTTCCGTGCAGCCATTTCCCTCTTCAAAATGGCACCCGCAGCCTCTCCACATGCAGTCCCCCCATCCTGGCTATTGTGTTTCCGCCCTTTTTTGCCATTCTTCTTCCATCCTCCGTGCCTCTCCTAAAATGGAGCCTCCTGAGCTCCAGCTGCTGACTTTTTCTCCACCTCCTCTTCTCCCTCCGTCCTTCTCCTTCACCTTTTCGGAGCAGGAATTCAGCAGTGCCCATACAAACCTAAGAAATATCAGTGGGACCGATTTCCCCCCCATCCACAAGAACAGAAAGAGGAGCCCCGTGTAAAAACAGGCATAGCATATGTCAAGCTCAAATTGCCATGCAAGAAATAATAAAGTTTCAGAGGGACCACCTCGCCATGTGAGCTAACTTAAAAGAATGCCCCCCACCGTTTATTCTTTCTGAAGCACTTTCCAAAGAATCGTATAATATAGCTGAAAGGGACCCGAAGGGTCATCCAGTCCAACCCGCTGAAAGGCAGAAATATGCAGGTGTCCCTTACACAGAACAACGTCACAACCTTGTGCTCAAAGGTGATTGAATTTAATTGCTAGATGTTGCACTCTTAAATGGCACTTTAAGGGATATTTAGGTATCCAATTATGCCACGAAGGACACTGGGAGCAGAGGAAGTGCTGCTTGCTTCCCAGCCACTCACTCTTAAGCACAGCTACTTGCTCTAACCACTGGACAATGCTTCCCATTAAGTCACTCTAACAATTACGCAGAGCTTCCCAGTCCCTCGCTGTAACCACTTGTAAACCCCAACCCTAAACCCTAACCCAACCCCAACTGTAACCCTAGCCCTAAACCGAGCCCTAACTCCTAACCCTAAACCTGTACCCTAGACCCTGAGCCTAACCCTAACCTAACCCTAACCCGCAACCCCTACCCCTTAACCCTAGCCCTAACCGAAACCCAAACATTAAATCCTAAATCCTAACCCTACACCCCTATCCTAGACTCTGACCCCTAACTCTAAACTCTAAATCCTAACCCTAACCGCAAACATTAAACCCTTAAACCCTAGGGGTTGGCAACGTGCGGCCCATGGGCCAGATGCGGTTTTACCGACCCACGAGCTGCCCGCAAACCAAGCCGCCTGCTCGGCAAGTCCCCTGTGCACTGCGCTAAAGCAGCACACCACAACCAACCAAAGCAAGAAGCTGTTTTGGGTTCCATCTACATAAAAAGAAGATGATATAGCTCTGATTGGGCTAATTTCAAATTGGTGTTTTTGCGGTTAGAATGCACATTCACTCAAAAATCGCAGTGACATGTTTGTTATCAGCCCAAACCAAGCATGGGTGTCAGGGTTCAATCTCAAAAAAAAAAAAAAAAAAAGCTTGAATTGTTCTTTCGGTGTTTATTCACCCACAAATAGGAACACGAAATACAATAAGCCAAACAAAGCCAAAGAGGTTGTTTTGATTTCCAGCTACATAGAAAGAAGAATCTTGGATTTCGCTTATTTCGTGTTTGTCAGAGCTGCTTCCAGATCCTAGCTCACAGAGGATCACGCTAGCCAGCGATCATTAAACAAAAGTCTTTATTGAGTTACAGTTTCCATTCTCAAACTGCTGCGTGCAACTCTACGTCTCATGGTTAGACCGGCGAAGCTCCGTCTGAGTCTCCGCCCCTTGTACACCAACTTAATATCCTAGCCCTGCTCCACCTTTTCCGCCTGACTGTTCTTCTCTGGGTCCCTCTGCCCCCTGGGGTCTCTTCTTTCCGGGATTCCTCTGACGCTGTCGCTGACCC